TATATATATATACACTGTATTTGGGATGCACTGATACCGAGACTTGTATCAGTATCAGTGCTGATGCCGAGTATTTGGGCGTATTTTCACCTCATGACGAGGGAGCATGTAGCCGGCTTACCGGCCAGTTAGGAAGCCGAGCACCGCGTCATTACACAGCACCGTGCTTCCTGATTGGCGAGAAACATGGGGATGGCTTCCCTGCTAATCGGGAAGCCGGTGGCGAGTCTTTACACGCCGCCCGGCTTCCCAGCTAATCAGGAAGCCAGGCTTTCGAGTCATTACACGCTGCCTGGCTTCCTTAATGGGACTTTCAGCATTGAATTTGCTCTAATGGCATCCCAGTCTTAGTCCGTAGGGTTTAAAATTGAGTTGGCCCACCCTTTGCAGCTTTAACAGCTTCAACTCTTCTGGGAAGGTTGTCCACAAGGTTTAGGAGTGTGTCTATGGGAATGTTTGACCATTCTTCCAGAAGCGCATTTGTGAGGTCAAGTACTGATGTAGGACGAGAAGGCCTGGCTCGCAGTCTCCGCTCTAATTCATCCCAAAGGTTTTCTATCGGGTTGAGGTCAGGACTCTGTGCAGGCCAGTCAAGTTTCTCCACCCCAAACTCGCCCATCCATGTCTTTATGGACCTTGCTTTGTGCACTGGCGCGCAGTCATGTTAGAACAGGAAGGGGCCATCCCCAAACTGTTCCCACAAAGTTGGGAGCATGAAATTGTCCAAAATGTCTTGGTATGCTGATGCCTTAAGAGTTCCCTTCACTAGAACTAAGGGGCCAAGCCCAACCCCAGAAAAACAAATAATCCCCCATCCAACAAACTTTACACTTGGCACAATGCAGTCAGGCAAGTACCGTTCTCCTGGCAACCGCCAAACCCAGACACACCAATCGGATTGCTAGACAGAGAAGCGTGATTCATCACTCCAGAGAACATGTCTCCACTTCTCTAGAGTCCAGTGGCGGCGTGCTTTAGAGCACTGCATCCGACGCTTTGCATTGCACTTGGTGATGTAAGGCTTGAATGCAGCTGCTCGGCCATGGAAACCCATTCCATGAAGCCCTCTACACACTGTTCTTGTGCCAATCTGAAGGCCACATGATGTTTGGAGGTCTGTAACCATTGACCCTGCAGACAGTTGGCGACTTCTGCGCACTATGCACGTCAGCATACGCTGACCCTGCTTTGTTATTTTATGTGGCCTACCGCTTCGTGGCTGAGTTGCTGTTGTTCCGCGTTGCTCCCACTTTGTTATAATACCACAAACAGTTGACCATGAAATATTTAGTAGCAAGGACATTTCACGGAACACCTGAATCCAATGATTTGGAGGGTGTCCCAATACTTTTGACAATATAGTGTGTATATATATATATATATATATATATCTATAGACAGATAGATAGATCTATCTATAGACAGATAGATAGATCTATCTATAGATAGATAGATAGATAGATATAGTACATTTTTTCTATGCTTTGTTTTGTGTAAAATGCAATATTCATAATCAAACTTTTCCTTATTTTCTGTTATAAAACATATCAAATAAATTATCATTCTTATGAATTTAGACCAAAATGTATTCTGGAGGGGAGAGGAGGTGTCATATTTGCACATTATGATGATAATGATTATGATGATTAATATTGTAATACAGGATTTGTATTCCTCCAACTGTGCGCAAATAAGTAAATTATGTTTTCACTGAACATATATGATTAAAAATTATACATACAAATTATATTTTTAAAACATTAACACACATTTTTTACATTGTTTACATCTAGTTGATTGCTTCTATGGGACTAAAATATACATTCCCTTAAAATGCTTTATTTTACCTCATAATATTTACTAGAAAGATGGGAAAGAGCTCAACAAGAACTGTTTTGATCATTTTTGGTGACATAAGTTATCTCCTAAAACTCCCCTAAAAAGGGGAAATCGGTGTACATCACACTACTGCTGCAATTACAAAGGGGACCCACGCTCTGTCTGGTGACTTAATTTATGGTATCCAAAATACAGCCATAGGACTGGGATTGCCTCTGTTTTGAACAAAGTATGACAGCAAGGTGAATGGGAACAGTTATGGGAAATAGAGCTGAGAGATCACACTAGTGGTGTCCCCAAGAGGTATAAGAACATAGCAAGTGATTTCACCCACAAAACTACCTACAAATGAAATTTTACTTTACATTAACTTACCCTGAAAACGGAACTCCTGTTTGTGGTTTTATATAAATACATGTGCATATAGAGTGTGTGTGTTTATATATATATACCGTATATATACATACTGTATATATATATGTATATATATATATATATATATATTTTATATACACTGAGTGGCCAGATTATTATGACAACCCCATCAGTACTTCGTTGGGCCACGAGATGACTCCATGAGATGATTTCGTTGGGCCGCCTCGTGACTCCACGAGATGTTGAAAGGTGATGCAAGGAATCTGACACTGCACTGTTGCCCTTCTGTTGTCTTGTACCAGTCTTGCCACTCTCCGTTCTGTCCTAACATTGACTAGTCGCTGACGGCCG